CAGAAATTGTAGATCTCGTCGTCCTCTACAAGAAAGGTCTGATGTAATTTTCCCGTAGGTACAACGGTTTAGGAGTTATTGAGGAAAAACGAAATTTTTTTCCAAAAGTTCGCCATTTCGACGCTGGAATGGTCGGATTTTGTCAACATCAATAAAATGCCAAATAATCATATGTAACTCATTAAATATCGAAATTAGAAGAAAAGTGCACTATTTTTAATTATAGGATATGCGTTTTTCTAAATATAAACTTTTAGGACTGACTGTATAGTCAATACATCCTTAAAACGTCGCATCGTCTAAACGAGCTGGTATTGAAATCGGTTTTATCTGTTTCGAATTACACTGATGTATTGTAAAAATAACTCAATTCTGATTAATAAATGAATAGAAAGAAATCTTGGCATTTCTATTTCACGATCTTTGACCAAATGACCAATCCTGAATGTGGCTACTTCAAGTCAGTGGTGACCCGAATAATCCTGCACAATTATCGATAAATAGAAGAGAAGCAAATATGTAAATTGGGAGCCACATGTTTTTACAATTAAAATTATTGAATGATCTTATGCACAAATGATCTTATGCAAAAAGTCTTTGATCAATTCCATTGAGGGCATACGAGCTTAACCAACGCGTTGGTCAGTAGATTCTTTGATTGACAGTACTTGATCACATCACATCGGTTATTTGATTTATTTTTCTTACTGTTACTGTGTTTGGGGCTTGTTCGGCTTCATTGCATTTAATAGTTCGTTCGGTGATTGAAATCGTTTTCGATTTGCACTCGTACGTGTTCTATGATTTTATTCTGATTATGATTTTGGTTCTAATTCTGATTCTGATTTTGATTCTGGTTCTGATTATGATTTTGATATTACTGAGTACTCATGTCTTTTATTTTGATAGTTACATGCGATTGAAATTAAAGTTAGACCTCCCAGAAATATGAACAGATCTCTCAGAAAGCTATAACATTATTATACTGCATAGCAATGAAATACATAATCCATTCTATCCATCTTTGTGCATGTGTGCATGAAAAGTGGATTAGGAATCGTTTTGAGTAGTTGCACGAAACATAGAAGTGAAATATATCGATAGAAACTTAGTCATTCAGACATACTGCATAAAACTATTTGTTTGATAAAAAAATGGATAAACAACAATCGCAAGAATCTGTAGCTGGCAACGGAGGTAAGAATATGGTGTAAGGACTTACCGCCGTGCTGAGGGCTGTGCTTGTAACAGTCTTGATGAGCGGAGGATCCGCCGGTAGCTCCGAGGTGTGTACTCGAAGCGGGCGATGCGGTCGGATCAGTGTTGTTGGGGTTGGTACAGGCACCACTAACCGAATTCGCGGTGACGTTGTTGCCGACGTGATGCTTATTCCTCCTGTACGGTTCCGGTTCCCGAACGTACGGGGTGAAAGGGCTCGGCGCGTCGGGGAAGGTCCCTCGCGCCAATCCAGGCACCCGAGGCAGCGCCGGGACCCGTGCCAGTCCCGGTATGTGCGTTTGCCCTGAAAAATAAAACACTTCTCTTCTCAATTTCACTTCCATTCCCCCATTCAATCGCTCAGATTTATATTTTCGATTACGATTCTGACGTCGACGCTACAATCAGTTCATTCTAAGAAACGGACAGTGAACTTCAGTAATGTAATATTTAATTAAGAATATAATTCTTACTTTTACATACTTCTTATTGTATATTGTAAATAATATCCTCGAACCTATTTCAATTTTTAAACATTCTTAAATCATAT